GTGTTGCTCGGGAGTCTTTCCCATCACTAATACGTCATCCATGTAGTAAAATACTCCCTCTAGTCCTTGAAAAACTGCCGCCATCGTTCGTTGAAAAATTGGAGCCGACACGCTAAGTCCAAACGGCAATCTACAGAAGGCATACAATCCCTTCGGAGTCGTGATCGTTAATAGCTTTTGTACCTCGGGTTTCACCTTCAATTGTAAGTAAGCGTTCGAAAAGTCCACCTTTGAAAAATATATGCTACCCTTTAAATTAGCTAATATTTCTTCAATCCGAGGTAACGGATATTTTATCTCCACAACCCACGGGTTTAGCGTGACCCGAAAATCAGCGCATAAACGAAGCTTTCCATTGGCCTTCTTCACGGGTACTAACGGTGTTGCCCATTCGCTATATTCCACTGGACAAACAATGCCCTTCTGCACCCACTGCTCCAATTCCTTGTCTACTTCATTTCGCCATTCGAACGGTATCCGACGTAATGCACAAAACTTGGGCACATATCCCTCCTTTAATTTGATATCCACTTCATAATCTCGGAGACAACCCAACTTCTCATCAAAAACCTCCTTGTAATTTTTCATCAAGTTTCTCACTCCCTCTTGTACTTTGATCATACCAAATTCTATCTCTCTATCCCGCAATTCCCTCTCTTCCCGTCGTCTCGTTTCCTTTCCATCCATTTCCATTTGTTGGCTATGTGTTCCCTTAGTACTTCCTTGTTCCAAATCATCATCTTCTCTAGTCTCTTCTTCTGGCAACATTATTTTCCCATCTGCCAATTTCTCCAGCTCCGCTTCAAACTTTCCTTGATCATGAATTTCTTTCTGTTCTTCAGTATCATTTCTTTCTTCCTTTCTCCCAAAGTCGCGACAACTCCTAAAATTCTCCCCAATACCTCCCCTAAAATTCTCCCCAATACCTCCCCTATAGTTTCCCCCAAAACCTCCCCTATAATTCCCCCCAATACCTCCCCTATAATTTCCCCCGATACCTCCCCTATAGTTCCCCCCGATACCTCCCCTATAATTCTCCCCAATACCTCCCCTAAAATTCCCCCCAATATCTCCCCTATAGTTCCCCCCAAAACCTCCCCTATAGTTCCCCCCAATACCTCCCCTATAGTTCCCCCCAAAACCTCCCCTATAGTTCCCCCCAAAACCTCCCCTACAGTTCCCCCCAAAACCTCCCCTACAGTCTCTAACAACCCTATTATCCTCTCTTCTCCTTTCCCCTTCCAAAAAGGTTTCAATTCCTGGCAATCTCTCTCCATACCACAAATTCATATCTCTATTTTCTTCATATCTTGCAACAGGTAAAAATACACCACACCATGCGAATACCCCCAAAAACCACAATCTGGACCAATTCGGGTGATCCAATCCCATCCCACTACTGACTCTACTTTTCGATCTACTATCCATAAGTCCAAAATCTCCACTCTATTCTCTAATACCACCTTTAACTCCACCCTTCCCATCACTGCGACTTCTGATCCATCCAACTGACGGATCTTGATGTCCTCCCGTTTAATTATCCCTTCCGACCAAATACTCTGATATTTCTCATATCCCATCACGGATATGGCTGCCCCAGTATCAAATAACATGGATACCATATTTCCATTCAAATTTATCCAAACTCTAGGGCAAGGATCATGTATCCTTTCCTCTTGTATCATATATATGCCCTTTGATACCCAATCTTTCTCACTATAATCTAATCTTTCCATCTCCTTCGCCCAAAGCCCCCGACCTTTGCGGCATGCTCTTTGCCATCATATAGTCACAAATACTCGCAATCTCTCGCCCCATGTCCTTCCTTCCGGCAACGGAAACAGATTCTATTCTGCTCTTTATTCACAGCCAAAAATGGTATTCCTACCTCTTTATTTTTTTCACTTTCTATAATTCTAACATTTGGAGCACTTTGCCCCATGTCCCTCTGCGGAAAACCGCCTCTAGTTTTGAAATTACCCACATTGCATTCCTCCCTATTATGACCAAATCGACCACAACCTGCACATCGTAGCTTATCACGTCTTCCTGAACAAAACGTGGCTATATGTCCATATTTTCCACATTCAAAACATTTCGTTTCTTGGCAATCTCTGACCATATGTCCCTGTCTTCCGCAATTATAACAATTCATTCTCCCCCTTACTCTTGAATCAAAGTTGGGTCTCATTTCTCCTCTCCTTCCCTGTGAACTTTCTCTAGGTCCCCTATATGTCCCCAATCTCTGATTAGTATATGAATCTCTCCTTTCAGGCCTATAGGTTAATTTATCTAATTCGCTATCCGTCCACCCATTAATTAACTCCTGCACTGGGAACCATGTTACCTTTCCCATAACATCCTCTTCCCCATTATGTCCTTCTATAGTCAATGTCTGCCCCTTTATTTTCACACTTCGACTTCTTCTCAACTTTCTTCCCCATATTAAGCTACACATCCATATTACTAATATAACCAATGCCCCAAAAATATTATACTGTATTTCCCAGTATTTTACAAATTTTAAACTTTTCATTTCGACCTTATAAAAAATTTATAATTAATTTCAAAATAAAAATTTTTGTTATTTGTAATGTTAATAGATATGATATTATTAATAGTGTAAACAACCCAATAATACACATGTACATCTACAGTTAATAAGTCTAAAGATACGACAAAAATTTGGGCAAATTTTGTGTAACAGATTTACAACTCGTAAAATTCGGACAGCACTTCCGTACGATAAGACTCTTTTTTTTTATTTTGAGAGAGCAGAGAAAAGAAAAAATAAATAAATGGACAGCTGATGTCGATGATGAAGACGATGTACACTTCACTTCAAGACTCAAATACCACTATATGATATTTTTCACTCGAAGACTCAAATACCACTATATGATATTTTACCGTAGATGTAGATGAAGATGATGTACAATTCACTTCAAGACTCAAATACCACTATATGATATTTTACCGTAGATGTAGATGAAGACGATGTACAATTCACTTCCAAGACTCAAATACCACTATATGATATTTTCCACTCGAAGACTCAAATACCACTATATGATATTTTACCGTAGATGTAGATGAAGACGATGTACACTTCACTTCAAGACTCAAATACCACTATATGATATTTTCCACTCGAAGACTCAAATACCACTATATGATATTTTACCGTAGATGTAGATGAAGACGATGTACACTTCACTTCAAGACTCAAATACCACTATATGATATTTTCCACTCGAAGACTCAAATACCACTATATGATATTTTACCGTAGATGTAGATGTAGATGAAGACGATGTACACTTCACTTCAAGACTCAAATACTACTATATGATATTTTCCACTCGAAGACTCAAATACCACTATATGATATTTTACCGTAGATGTAGATGAAGACGATGTACAATTCACTTCAAGACTCAAATACCACTATATGATATTTTCCACTCGAAGACTCAAATACCACTATATGATATTTTACCGTAGATGTAGATGAAGACGATGTACACTTCACTTCAAGACTCAAATACCACTATATGATATTTTCCACTCGAAGACTCAAATACCACTATATGATATTACGACAACCGCACTAACCAGGTTGCTTTGTATAAACACGGCACCAATTTCAAAATTTCACTGTACAGAAACGTTTAACTTAACAGTATATATTTTTTTTACCCCCTTTTTTTTTTTGAATATATTGGTTTTATTTTTCTTTAAAACAATAAATATAAAAAAAATATAATTGATTAAATAATAATGAATTTCCACTTTTTTTTTAGTTTATATAAGATTATTTTTTTTTATAAATATTAAATTATTATTTATTTTTTTTTTACATAATAAATATTAAAAATATTTATATAATGACGTTCAAGATGACTGCGCGAAACAAAAAAAAAAAATATTAAAAATAAAATTTCAAACAAAAAAAATATTTCATGACTCATACAAAAAAATAATAAAACTATTTATAACAAAAATAATATAGGCTTTAAACTAAAGTTAATCGGAATCTTCCCGAATTCGCTAAATGTAAGGTATCCGAGAACTTCCTTTAACTGGAACTAGAATAGAAACCTCTTCGAAAATTAAAAGGATCGGAAAAATGCTGGTAAGCCATTCGAGATGAGACGATTTTTAAAAAACGGCTAGTGGACATCTATCTATTAGCGAAATTTCAAGGATTAGGACATATTTTTTCTGGCTAAAATATTTGAGGAGTAAGCCGTTTTTTTAAAAAATCGACTCAAATCGAACTGTTGGACAACACTACTAATAATAATTTATATAGGAGCCTAACAAAAAAAACGATTACTTTGAATAATCTGAAGATTTTCTTTCGCGCAGAGAATGCTATTTTCGAATTTTTGATCAAATTTTGCTCATAATTTCAATTTTTTTCTTCTTTTAATATAATTTGATAATTTTTATCTGTGTAAAAAGTATTTAATGATAAAATCATGAAAAATGATCTTTTTCTAACCTTTTAAAAAGGCTAAAAATTAAAAAAATATTTTTTTAAATATATGAACAAATGTTAAAATCAGATTTATATGACATCGCTACAGCGTCTACAACCGGGGAACCTGAACCGTATCATTTTTCTATAATTTTTAGATATAACCCGAAACCCTTAGTTTGATAGAAATTCTTACAACCTCCCCCCCCCCCCCTTATTGTATATTTAATAATTGCACTCGTTTCGCTGTATCATCGTATATCAAAATATAATAATTAATAAAAGTTATAAAATTAATATATTTTTTTTATATAAAAATTGAGGTATTTCGGCAAATAACAAAACTATTTAAGTCTCTTAATCTCGTTTTTCAAAAATAGATGATTTTATTTTCTTTCAATTCAACTAGAGCCCACCCCCATTCTTAAAGAATCATGATAAAAGATACTAAGATTCTGAAACAAGACAAAACGATGTTGAGGTTTATTTTTTATTGATTATATTTTTTGTTAAACAGATTGAAATGGGAGCAACCTATGTCAGAATCGGCACGATCATCTTTGGAGAAAGGAATTATTCACTCATGGTAAACGAATCATAATTAACAAAATAAAAATGTAAACGTCTCTCATATTTTTATTATTATTTTTTTAAACGTTGTGATAATACAATTATTAGTCAATTATACATATATATATAAATAATATTTATATTGATATATAGAAAGAAATTTTTTACAATGTTTATTCTTTAACCCTCAACCTATTTTTTTTAAACCCCCACCTCACCGCAAGAGATATGGAAACATCGCTCTTACCCCCCTCTCCCTTTCATGTAAGAGGTAAAGACCGACACTGAGTAATTGTAAATTTTCTTTATAACCAAAAAAAATTTTTTTAACGAATTTTGTACCTATTTTATTTTGTAATATTTAGTTAAATGCACGAATTTTAATTAATACATAATTAAATCAATTTAAATAGCCCAATGATTAATAAAATATTGTACATATTATCATTCTTCTGTCTCTAAAAAGTCCCAGAAAAGTAGAAAAAAAAGAGACTTTTTAAAAGCTAGTGGTGTTGAACGGCTCGATTTGGACCGATTCTTAAAAACGGTTAACTCAATATTTTACCCAGAAAAAATATCGCGGATGCCTGGAGATTTTGCTCTCATAGACGGCACAAAGGTCTAGATATCTATTATCGAAATCATATTGAGATAGCCGATTTAAAAAATCGGCTCAAAACGAACTGTTTAACAACACTATTCAAAACCCTCCTTGAAAACCTATTCCTAACTTCGACTTGGATTTCATTATAGCCTTTCAGCGCCGCAGATTTCTAAATTATTTATTAGTTTGTTTTTTTTAAAGTAATTTTGAGAATTAATATCATTATCCAAAATCCCAATTTTTTTGTTCGTTTGTAAACAATATAAATTCATTCCGCCATTTTTTAAATTTGTATTTTTAATGACCTTTGAAAAAAAATAAATTGTGTAATTTTTTATATATTTTTTTTTCAAAAATTATAATAATTTTGTCTTGACCAATAAATAGAAAATGAAATTGCCATATTTATGAATTCAAGTTCATAGGAGTAGCCAGGATTTTGATGATGAGAGAGGGGTAGGGCACTATTAGTTGGGTTTTTTTCCTAATAAATTTTATTGGAGGTTTATAGGTCCACTTATTGTAGACCTTAGGATATATTAAACCGTTATAAAAAATATTTTGGGTTTTCACTTTTTTAAAAATTTTGAATTATAGACATTAATTTAAAAATTTAATTAACTTTTACTAATTATTAGTTAAAGATATATATATAAGTACAGGCAAATTTTAGAAAGGAGAATTCCAGGGAGGCGGAAATCGGCAAAAATTTTATCCGGGTTCGGTTCAAGGTAAAAAAATATTAAGTTCAGGGAAATTCTTTTGAACCCGGGTTTGGTTTCGTCAGCTCGGATTTAGGAATTTTTTGAATTAATAAAATAAATTCTATATTTAAATTATAATTATAAAACGAGACATAAATTTATAAGTATAAAGAATAAAAATATTATATTGCTTAATAGGGACAAAATATATTTAAAAATACAAGGTATAGTCATGTATAAATTTAAAATTTTTTATTTAAACGTATTATAGCATAATATATTCCAAGGGTAGTTTGCTCGTCCTCTGTCCATGCAGTAAAATCTTTCAACGTTAACATCTATTGAATATATTTATATGAAAATATGATAAATATTTTGAGTTTCAGGAATAGCAAATAAGATTTTGTATAAAATGTATAAATCAGAGTACTGCACCTTAGCAGACTCACAAAATTGTAAAATATTTTCCTTCTTATCCAATCTTTTAAAATAGCTTCAATAATTATCGTTGTAACACTTCTCTTTGCAATCGTTGGCCCTTTTTTAAGTATTTTCTCTTGCCTTTCTTTAAGTTGCATTAATTTCTCTAGATCATCATGTTCAATAACTTCATCCGAACTATTATCATCAGATAAAATGGGCGTGGATATGGGTCAGCGTCTACATGAGCGGGAGGGGTAGGAAAAGTTTGCATCCTATTTTTTGAGGGGGGTAGGCTGCTTTAATGTGGGTAAGATAAATTTTTGGGGAGTTATCTATTAAATTTTGAGATGAAATAGGACAAAATTTATTGCAGTAAAAATTAATACTTTTATCATAGAATTATTATTATAATACAATTCATCGACCAAATCTATATAGCAAACAATCATACACATTGTTTTCCAAATAAAACTTTCGTTTAGATATTTCAGCAAGTTCATAATGCCATAATAATTAATTCATTGTATTTATTATCTAAAAAATAAATTTTTTATATTCACAAAATATCGATAGTTGGTAGTAGAGATAGATTAATTTAAGTTATCCTTTATAAATTCTCTGAAAAGAGTATCAATAAATTAAAAAGAATAATATAAAAACACCTACGCCGAAGGCGGTGGGAATTTTTTAGGGGGGTTGGCAAAGGTTTTTGGAGGGGGCTTGCATCCAGTGAAAATCCTGTCATGTAGACGTTGATATGGGTTCAATCTTACTCGAAATTAACAAGATACCTAGTCGCACAAATCGATTCATCATCATTAAGATATATCTGTAATATTTAAGAATTTATACCGTTTAAATCGAAAATTTATATAATCTCAATAACATTAATGGTTAAGTTTTTCTGCTTGATAAAATTTTTTAATATATTGATTAACGCCTAATTACTGGATATCATTCACTACCACAAGAAATGATGTTTTAGTCTAATGATAGTCGAATTATATTCCAAAAATCAAGAATACCATTGTATCAATTTTGAAATTTGAAATATAATATTCATTTGACAGCAAGCAAACCAGTTTGCATTACAGAGTGAAAACGATACATATATTAGACCTATCATTTGTTTTGCATAAATATTACTTTGATCTAATTAGTGAATATAACTGTAACCAAATATTTAAGAATAATCTCATAAAATTTGATCAAATAGATAAAATATTATAAAAGGAGCAATATATTATTCGATTTAATCTGAGATGGCTCAATTTTTTTTTTATAAATTATTTTAAAAATACAAGAATATAACTCAAAATATGTTAAAAATTTATAAATAAAATATGTCTAAAATTCTGAAATAATAACATTTTTATTTAATAATAGCCGGACCAATCAAATAATATTTTTTAGAACTTTTTAAATGCTTTAAAATAAAACTTAAAAAAATTTCTATAAAATGAAGTTTTAAAAAAAAAAAAAAATGAAAGTTTATATAAAATTAAAATAAATAAAAAAAATAGATAATATATCTCCATAAATAAGTGATGACCCACAATTGTTATGATCAAAAACTTTTCTTCTACTATATATATTACATATAATTTTAAATCCAAGATTATATAAAATATACTTGACTTAATTTTAATATTTTTTATATTTATTATAAATTTAATGAATATGATCAAATAGAAAATTATAATATATATAAAATATACTTGACTTAATTTAATATTTTTTATATTTATTATAAATTTAATGAATATAATCAAATAGAAAACTATAATATTTGGTTTAACACATGATTTATTTTATCGGCTTTTTATTATTTTTTATTTTCGTTATATATCCGACATTGCTAATTTTTACTTGAATTTTAACATTATTTTTATCGGTTTATCGCTTATATAACATATTTTTAATGATTTAAAATATAATAATCATGTGAAATTTGGCTTTTTATGGTTCTTAATAAACTATATTATATAAATAATTATGAATCCCCATGAAACAAAAATGAAATTATTAATTGACAAAATAAGCCCTAAGCATAAAAGTATATTTATATAATTATTTAGTAACATGTAATTTAAATAAGGTTACCAAGCACATAGACCATATATTACTTCGACTGATAATAATTATATACTTTGCCTTGATGGTCATTGTTATATTAAATTTGAAACATTAAACAAAAAGATTATTTACAAATGTGTTAAAGACCTTTGTTTAGGAGCTGGAATCATTGAAAATAATTCTTTTAAATGTATTAAACCCCATTCAAACTTTTGTATGAAAGCTACAGTAGCTAATAAATTTAATATTCTTTCAATTCAAGGTTTAAATTAATATATTTTTATTGTATATTAAAATAATAAATAAGGTATAAATGAATCATCACCAACACATGAAACTTATAATAAAATTTGCTCGCAGATAACAAGTATCTTATATTAAGTTATATTTGGAAATAAAATATATAACTAATTTTAGAAAATAATTTTTCTATGCCTACTTTGGTCATTACCCCTAATCAAATTAATAATGAATTAAGTTTTATATATTATATAATTAAATATAAATTATGATCTAGTTAACGAAGAACTTTCATCAAATACTACATTTCATAATCATTCATCATCATCAATATCACCAAGTAATTACTGATAACTTATTGTTATAGCCATTTTTTTTATTTCGATTTAAAATGTAAAACTGATTTTAGTAGTTTATATTTTTTTATATCATATTATATATTTAGTTCTCATTATTTTTTTACAAGGTGAGCAGGAACCTTTAGGGTCTCTTGAGCCGATGCTTCTTGATTTAAATAAATATGAAAAGCAATTGAAAACATATGAAGATTATGGCAAGAGAAACATATTATCCAATGAGAATATGATAATGTATGATGGTTAGTCAATATTTAATAATATATTTATATTAAGGGTATATTGACCTGGGTATAAATGTCTTCAAATTGGCACAAGATGTACAGTAAATTTTTAATATCTCTTGGAATCATAATAAAATTTTAAAATAAGTTGTTGAACAAAAATAATTAAGGAGAGGTCAATACTGGCAAGTGAAGTCAGACATGGCATAAAATTAAAAAACAAATCCATAACCATAGGCTGATTTCATTTGCCAATGCTAACCTCTACTTAAAATATTTTTATTTTACTTTTAATGTTATATATCAATATTCAAGAGATGTTTTTACATGAACAATTAGCTGCCAATCTTGTGCCACCTGACAAGTATTTAATGGCAAATTGACTACACATCAGATTTTTTTATCACCATATTAAAAAAAAAATATAAAATGTGATGGCTATAGATAATTATCAAAGAACTCTAGCTCCAATGAGTCCAGAACTAGAGTGATGGCTTTCAACACACTTGCAATATAGGTTTCTATAAGCTCAAATGAATTAATGAATATTTATATCAAATATAACAATTATGTACTATATTGTGACCCTTTAAATACTTATTAATTAAATTGTTTAAAAAAAAATCCTTCAGTGCAATTGTATTTCTGGCAAAATAAAATGAGTTATTACGAATAATCTTATAAATTGATTTGATTCACGTTTTCATAGATTCACAATAAATTATATGGAATGGTTGAAGCTGGAATTTAAAAAAAAAATGCTTATAAATGCTTTATATTAGCAATAACACCTAAATGATAAATATATATTGGGTAGGTTTATAGGTGTACAGTACAGATAGCCTCAACAAATTGTAATAGGTGTTTACAATATTGAACTCACATTAGAAGGAATTATTTTATAATATATTTTAATGATTAATTATATTATAAAATGCCTACTTTTTATATATTAAAAATTTAATTACTATTAATTTTTTAATGATTGTTGCCCTCTATATTTAGTTTTATTTTAATTCCCAAAATTATGAAATATGGAATAATAAATTAATTCTTATTTCTTTCATTTCTAATTCTTACTTAAATATTTAATATATATTGCTAATAAACATATTGGGCCAGTTTCAATGCTTCAATAATCCCAAAATGTAGCTAGCTCATCAATATAGCTCATTTTTTGTTTTACGTGAAAATACATTGAGAGACACTTGAAGATTTATTTTTAAAATATTTATATATTTTAAATAAAATTTTAAGGGTTTCAAATGATTTAGAATGTTTAAATTTGGACTTGAATATCTATCTAGTAGTTTAAGATTATAACCTATCTATATCGCACCTGTATCCAACTTGTATACTCATAACTCTGGACCCATTTTAGATAGAGCTTTAAAATTTTGATTGAAATTATATTAAATTTAAAAAATGCCAATCAAAATCGATCATCTTATAACCAGGTCATTTTAATGCAAGAATATCGGTGCAGCCTCCCTCGCGTTTATAATTAACTTTTTTTCCACAGGGTCTATTTAAATTATTGATTTTTTTTAAAATAAATCAAAATCAAAAAAATCGGATTTTTTTATATGAATGAAATTTTTGTACTGTCTTATTTGTATGTGATAATATCTATATTCTATTCTTATTAAGGACTAATACCTTCATTTTTTAAAATTTATTTTTAATAACATTTTTACCAATAAAATAATAAAATTTTTAATTTGAAAATCGCAAGGCTACAAGCCCTAATTACTGATAATTATAATAAATCCTTAAATAGAGTATTCACTTATATTTAATCTACTATAATGATTTTGGAGTTGATACGTATAAAAACTAATATCAGAAACGCATCGACACTCATGGTATTAGCTAATACAATCCAAAATAATAATTAGGGCTTTTAAAGAAAAAGGAAAAAATTTGCCTATATATAGACCCTAAATTCTGGTTAGGAAAAATAAGATATTCTAAACAGAATAGAAAGAAATCAAGAAAGAAAGGATTTAAAATTAAAATATTATTAGGCTCCAGCATACTGGTCTATTGATTGTCTAAATATTTTACTTCTTAGATATTCTAATCACCATAAAAACCGATATTAATAAAAAAAATATTTTTGTGTAATTTAACTTATTAAATTTTTCATGAAAAGAATACACTTACAAATATTATATTATAATAATGTAATACTATAAGCTTCGTTTAAAATTTTCAATGGATCATGGCTTAAAATTTAAAAAATTGAAATATATATATATTTTTTAGATATTACAAATATAAGATCAATTAAATCGATGATTATTATTTTTTTAAATATTACTATTTAATTTAATTTTTAAGCGTAGGAAAGGTCACTAAATCATTCACTTAAGTGAAAATATCAAATTAGATTAAATAATAAGGTTAAATATTTGTAATGTCAAGTTATTTATATTAGTGATGAATTTTGATAGTTATCATGAATCCCCACACCCCGTTTCTCCATCATTATGATTGTAACTAAATTTTTTGCGCATCAAATAATTTATTAATTAATATATATTTTATTTTTTTAAAAAATATAGAATTTATTGGTGCGGCTACTGCAGATACTACTACTAACCCCATCATAGAGGTTACCGTTAAAAAGGGAAAATTTGTTATATTCAGCCAGGGATATTTTTACAGCCAAACAAAAGTGGAAGGAACCCAAACCCATTATAATTGTAGGAATAGCGCGTGCCCGGGTAAAGGTTTATTAATTGACAATTCATTCCAATGCGTACAATCCCACGTTGACGATTGTTTGATCATGCTCAAGAAAGAATTTGGTACCCTACGTTGTCATATTTATTCGAGCTTCTCTCTAACTGATTTATGTTTATCTTTTACTTTCTCCCAATTTGATTAAGGGGGTTTACACCTACTACGTTTGTTAGATCCATATGCTTATCCCTAATTTCTAATACATAATATACATTATTGATTTTATCTTTCCACTTCCCAGCCATCGGTATTGCACTCACTTGTGATGGCTAAAAGGTTAAAACGTGCAATAATTCCATTTACTTTCATATCCCAGCACACGATTTGCGATTTTTGCAAAAAATCCTTATCTTTCATTTTAGTAATTTAGGATTTTTCAATGTGTTTAATAAAGAAGTGCTCTTTATTTAGTCTATAATTATTTAATGTAAACTGTACACACATTATATTAGGTTAATATTTATAATATATATTATATTAGACAAGAATAGCTAGATTAACATTTATATACATATACATAAATATATTTATATTATTTTTTATATAGAAGGAAGTAGCAGTGACGAACATGCTGGCAACAATTCAACGAATATTAATGAAAGTAGTGCCGATAAAGGGAACAATGCCGTCGAAAGCAATATCGATTTAGTCTGTAAAGAGGAATTCGTCGATGAAAATTATGATAACACTGGGGGAATTACTGAAAGCCATCCCGTTGTCAATAGAAAGGTCCATCAACACAAAATGCCAACGGATGATCTGCCAAAATGGCGCCCCACTAGATTAAGTATTCTTTTTTATGACCCATCTATTTATTATTGATCATGACTTTTGTTTCCTCTCAAAAAAATGCATTGAATTGAATTTTTAACAACTCCTTTCCTACACACACCACAGATTATACCCACATCATCACCTTTGTCTTTACTGCATTCATTTTCAGACTCTCTGTTTCCATGCTCATCTTCCATCTACTAATCTTATTCCTCAATTCTTCCTTACTGTTTGCTATTAGCACAAGGTCATCTACATATAATAGCTCCTATCGAAATCCTTCATGCATCTCTCTAGCCATCTTATCCATTACTAAGATAAATATTGATAGACTCAGCATGGATACCTAATGAAGTTCTACCTTCACTTCATGGCTTTCACTATCTCCATCACATACCGCAGTTTGTGCTCCCACATACATAGCCATCACTGCCATAACCAACCATTCTTCCCCTGATTTTCTCAAGGCCCATCTAGTAACCTCTTGCGGCACTCTTTCAAATGTCTTCTCCAAATCAACACACATAATACAGTTTCTTCTCCTTTACAAGATACTTCTATATTTATCTCACCATAAAAATTGCATCTGTCGTGCCTTTCCTCAGTGTAAAGCTAAACTGCATTTCATCAATTTTCGTTTGTTCCCTTATCCGCTTCTCTAACACCCTCTCAAATATTTTCATAGCTTGTTCCAAAAGTTTAATAGCTCTATGAGACCCGCAATCTAAAGAGCTATTCGTAAAATTTCGAATGCGAAGAAATATATTTTATTTAAAAAACATTTTAAAAAAATCAACGCCATACCATATTTCCTTGCAGCAAGTCCGAATATAAATATGTACACCATTTAAAATTTATTCAAGCAATGGCTTCATACTAGTACTCACGCTATAAAAATCATTTCCTATGATTAACCCTTCAATACTCCGGTGGGGTATATGAGACTACAGGCTTGCTAGAATTGATATCATAATAAAAACGGTTTATTATTATGATCTGGAATCTTCAGTAGCTTCATCAAATATATCTTAGAAATCTATATTCCAAATTTTATATATTTTGGCTGAATAGTTTTGACATATAAACATTTTGCGAGTGACTGATTGGGGATTGTGAAACCCCACCAGAGTAAACACCTATTTTTCAAATTATTTTTATCATTTATTATGATTTCCATATGTTCTGAAAGTAAATATAATAAAATTTATTTTAAAATGTAATATCATTTTTTATATATTTGAGTTGGGTATGGAAAAATGACATTATTATCATATACCTATATAGAAAAGGATGTCATAATGCTATCAACTTTCCACCATAATAAAAAATGTTGATACAAAATGATACAAGCAAGCCTGAAATTATAAAATTTTATAATATGACTAAAGGTAGGTTAGATATGGTGTATCGAATGACAACAAATGTTACAATTTTAAGCAGGTCTTACACACATTTCTAAACATAATATCAATTAATTCACATCATATAGCAAACGCAAAAATATCCACTACAAGAAGTAATTTCACGTGTAAAATATCAAAGTACAACAAAAATTATCAGAAAATATTAGGCAAAGTTCAAAATATAAATCTTTTCCACTCAAGAGGAAGGTGCGATATGTGTGCTAGCAGTTAAGATGAGAAAACGAAATATTTTTGTCAAATAAGGGAAAAAAATATTATGTTTGGAGAGCATATTAATACTTTATGTGTTAAGTCAAAATTAACATATTTCAATGTCCTAAATTTTTTTTTATGTTTGCATGTATTAGTGTAAATCATGTTTTATATTGAAGAATAAATAAAAATAATGAATTATAATGATGATATGATGGATAAATTATTTTTTCAATTTTGGCACAAATTATAATTATCCTCATTATTTTTAATCTAAGTATAATAAAATAAAAATAAATAAATATTTTAACGAGTTTAAGGTTTGTTCTATCTTATATCCAAATATTAAATACAAAAGGAGATGTATACATTTGAAATTGGGGTCTATTAAAACTCCATTAGAGTACTAACGTCATTTTTTTTTCACCGGAGTATCGAAGGGTTAATATCGAAGCGTAAAATGGCAAATGGTAATCCATTTACATTTTACAACAATGAATCTAATTATAACAGTAGTAATGCTCATTATCCCGGAACCCGGATACCAGTTCCTAGGAATATTGAATTGCTTTTGAACCTTGATGGTTTAATCATGCTTGCTTTCTAACATTGATAACTCAGGATGAAGTGCCCGCCTACCTCACCGAATTTTCTTATTATTTTCTAATTTTATAATTCTAGAATGGATAATATTTGTATCTAAATCTAAATAAATCACCTTTGATAATCATTTTCATTGTATTTTTAATGAAACCTTTCGTTGATTTTATATTCAGTGAGTAATGAATCATTGTTGCAATCTCCTCCCTTCAAGCGAACCCCAAATATCCTCCAAAGTATATTATATTATATTATAAACATATTTAGATTTAAATAAAATAAAATAAATATTACAATTTCCTATTCTTGCCAGAGCTGTGTCCGTTCCACAAAATTTTTTTTCTTCTCTGATCCGATATTTTACATTGATTTTTTTTATTTACCATCCTTATAATTGTAAACTAGGGTGGTTAAAAAGCCCGAAGTGTGTCCATTTTTTAAGAAAATGATATTACGCGAGGCTAGAGATTTGGCAGGCGACCAAACCGTTCTGCAATTTAACAAGATCTCACAGATTTGCATAATATTATTTTTGCCAAAATCTTGATCATCCATCCAAATCGGGCTTTTTATCGACATACTCGTAAAATATGGACTGGGGGTAAATTTCTATTAGCTTAAAATGATATTTAGGGAATTTGTGATGGGGGGGCAGATTCGCCTACCACCCGTTACGCTAACCCCAATGGTGCCCAAATTATTTAAATGGTAACGACCCGATATTCAGTGTCAGCGCAGCTCTCGTTCTTGCCCTAAAAATGATCTGTTTTTATCTAATAATATATCTTGGGTTGTGATGACAAGTATTTGTTCATGTACCATTTTCTCGAGCCGATTGTTTGAGAATATAGATAATTAACTATATTGATTACATTTTACCACGTAATCATTCTTCGATAATTGTTTATTTTTTATATTATTATTATTAAAAATGTGTACTTTTGTGTTTTATATTTTATAGAAAAATAGAGAAAAATTATTATTCTTTTTTTTGGTTGTAAAATCGTGAAAAATATATGTAATAAAGAAAAATAAAAGAGTGTTAAAAATATTTCGTATTTGACTCTAAGAAAATTCAAAGATTAAAAAGAATAAAAAATAAGGTTAGAAAAGTGGTGCCGTGTAAAAACGACACTGATAATTAATTTGGCACAACCAATTTCTACCACGGGAAAATTCATAATAATACAAAAAAGGTAAAATATTTTTATTTGAATGTAATATATAACAATTTTTTTAATAATAATAGCTTTAACGTATTTTTTTTCGTTTAAAATTATAAAGATTTATATAATAAAATTTTAAATAAATTTATTATAATTACACAAAAATTTAGATAATGAGGTAAATTAAAAAAAAAAAATTATGTTTAATAAAAAAAGTGATAAAAGCTTATAATTATATTGAAGTCAGGAATTTGTCGCAATGTATTTATTTAATATTAGTTTTAAGTCTAATATTAGGTATTTATATTTGGTATAAAAGAATAAATTTTAATAGAGAGGCGAATAAAATAAGATTGTTAAAACAAAGGGATATAGAAAAAAAATTATAAAATGGAAAAGTTATATAATGAAATATGTTTGATGAAAAATGATGATAAGTATGGAATATTAAAAACAGATATCTTTGGAGATTCTAAAAAAAGAAAATTTGGAATTAATGTTGATAAAACAGAGATTATTAGAGATTATGAAAAAGAAAGAAATGAAATTGACACGGAAAATAAAAATATAGGAAATGAAAATAGTGAAATTGAGATAAGGATATAGTAATAAAAGAAATAGAGATTGAAAATATAAAAAAAAGGAAAATTGAGAAAGAAAATTTGGAAAGGGAAAATAAAGAAAAAGAGAAAAAAAGAATTACTTAAAAGAGTTGAAGAGATGAAATGGGAAATTAAAAAATTGAATGAAGCAAATCAAAGGTATAATAGTGGAACGGGTCAAAATAGAACGTGTTATAATTGTGGAAAATATGGACATATAAGCAGAGAATGTAATGAAGAAATGAATAAAAAAAATGTTACCAGTAATTTGCAAAAGATGTGGAAACCGAGGACATAATTCTGAGGAATGTTACGTTCCGGCATATAAATTATTAAATGAAAAACAAACATTACGGAGCATTGATTAAGCTATCCTCCATATCTTCCGAATTTCCATCAGCTCCCACCGTCACTTCATCCGTAATCCCCAAATTTGAATTACGAAGTCCCCTATATTCACTTGTCAATTCATCTCTTGATTGTACTATACATACCATTAATTGAGACCATTGCCATTTCCCTTACCACATGTATTCTCTTCAGTTGTCCGTCTTGAGTCCATCTACTTATTCCATTACCAAAAGATGCTTGTTGAATTCTTTCACTAGGACATTCCCTGGTTTAATGTCCTCTTTCCGGGCCGAATGTATCCAGTATGCTAATGAGATGGAATGTGGAATTACCAATAAATGTGACATGTTTCAATTGGCGGGGGAAGAGGACAAAATGCCAGGGAATGTCCTGGTGGAAGAATTCAACAAGCATCTTTTGGTAATGGAATAAGTAGACGGACTCAAGACGGACAACTGAAGAGAATACCTGTGGTAAGGGAAATTGCAATGGTCTCAATTAATGGTATGTCAAGAGGTGCAAACAATATAGTACAATCAAGAGATGAATTGACAGTGAATATATAGGACTTCGTAATTCAAATTTGGGGATTTACGGATGTTTGTTTTTTCATTTAATTATTTATAGTTAGCATTTATAGTTTTAAAAAAAAATTTGTAAAATAAATGTATATATTTTAGTTGATATCGCATTTTACATTTACCCCATGTTTTACCATGTTCGATAATTGTTTATTTTTTAAAATATTGTTGAGTGTTAAAAATATTTCGTATTTGATTCTAAGAAGATTAAAAAGAATAAAAAATAAGGTTAAAAAAATCATTAATATAATTTTTTTTATAATAAATACGGTAAGAATTGTGGGGTCGGATTTACGCATTACGCGTAGTGTCGCTGAAGACCTCGTTTTTATTAGTTTTTAAAAAAAAACGGTTGATTCCCTAGAGATTTTCATATAGATGGTAGAAAAGTTTTACCACCCCCCTTCCCCTTTTTACTCCGAGGCTTAGGTATTATTATTCCTGGCTAAAATCGTGATTTAGCCATTTTCCATATAAATCGATATTTACAAAAACACCACCTGTAAAATATAACTAGTTACAGTTATTTTTAGCAAAAATATAACTAGTTACTTTAACAACACTTTTATATATAAACATTCTTTCTATATTGTAATTGATTATCATTACTATTTATATTACATTTTTGAAAAATAAAATACTTTGGAAATTGATCTATCAAATTGTTAATTCAATCAATCAGATACCCTGCCTCAGGTCAAATTGGTAAAACTTAATCTAAACCCCGCTTCGAATACCTCTCATCCGACCTACGTCTTCGGTAAGCACACATATGCGAGGCGCGATTTCAAGGATGGGGCGATTTATTACGAATGCCAAAACGTAAAAATTTGCCAGGGGAAGGGCATTCTGGTTGGGGACTACTTTACACCCACGACGGGCCACACGAATGAATGCTCACATATTTCGGATATATCATCGCGATATTGCAAACCAATCGAGACTCCTCCGGAAGTTTATACAGGTTACAGTTAATATACACTATAATAAAATAATTTTGGGTCGCATAATGCCAACACTAACCTTAATCGGCTCCGATGTGGAACGTTAGCTTGCTTAACCAACATTATGAATGATAAATGCATGGCTTTCTCATTAAAATATATTGAGCAGCTTAAGGATTTGTAAACGAGGCCTGCCATTCTAGATATTTATTCAAAATTTAAAACGATTCATGTTTGGGGGCTATTTTTTTTTATTTACGATTATATTTAGAAGAAATTTCATTTCCAATATAAATCATATTAATTAAAACGTTTAGACACCCGTCCTTTTAGAATAGCCGATTATCGCGTTCAAAAATGGTCCAACGGCAAGATTTATTACATATGCAGGACTCAGCATTGCAGAGGGAGGGGCAAGCTCACTGACGGGAATACTTTTACTGTCACTCAACCTCACGCGCCATTTTGCAATAGAAGTAAATACGCGCGAAAATATATAAAAGGGGAAAAAAAGATTGGAAGGAGAAATATGTATATTTTTTTTAAACAAAAATAGAATCGATCGGATATAAAAAAAGCCCACCACTAAATCCTATTTCGGGCGGGCCCCTAGGTGCGTGGGGTACTCTAGTCGAAATATTGACAGGAATATAGATAGAAATATTATCAAAAGTTTCCCTATCACCCTTTCGAAAATTTCTCCCCCCCCCCACTATCCCTTAGAAAAAAGAAGGAGCACTGATTAGTTTTTTGCGATTGAAATTCTACTAACAAATTACCCAATTATTATACACTTAATTATATTATATTTGTTTTTCGAAGCTATGAAATCGCCATCTTGCAACTCTAACGAAATCGATAGCTGGAACCAAGTAGTCCACGAGGATTACACGTATAGAAGGTTTATCTTAAATTATATTTTTTATTCCTTATACACTACATGGTATACGGAGTAAAAAAAAACATTTAAGATCATTGGATAATAAATAGTGAGTATACTTACTCTAAAACTAAACAAAATGGTGGAAAGATTTGCGATAAATAAGTTAACTAATAACTTAATAAGCCGGAACTAGTAAGCAAGAACGAAGGATCAGATTGAGAAATAATGGCAAAAACATTTTTATTTAAATCCAGGTACAGCCAAAAGAAGGGTATCGATTATTACAAATGTTTGCAAGGGTTTTGCAAAGGCCGGGGCGTTTTGATAGGACCTACCCAATTCAACGTCACTCAAGTGCACGATCAATTATGCACGGTTGGTCACGTGACAGGTCAATTTCCCAAAGGTTTATTTTTGTTAATTTAAACTAAGCAAAACCTTTTAATTTCATTCTCCCCAACCCATTGGATCCAAAAAATCATACACTTACTTAAATGTATCACCAGAGACCCTTTTGCACGGCATGGCCCGGGTTATTTGGTTTTGATATCCGGCTTGGCCAGGACCTAGTATATTTAAAAAAAATTAAAATATGGGCCGGCTAATGTACTCGGGCCGGGCCTGCAGGTCTCTGATATAAATAGCTTATTTGTTTACGATATTTTTTTCTCGCGAATAACGGTAATGGTCCAGACCGTGGTTCGAATTTAAAAAAAACCAGATTAGATCACGATCTCGCAGAGAGCGACTGGACCTTTAACCTTAACTATAGGCGATTTATACCATTTCTTTAACTGTTGGGATTTTACGAGTATATTAAATAAACTCGTCATCCTTAGTATTTTCTTGAAATAAGAAATAGGTGTAAAGATTACAAAAAATTTTTTTTTATCCGTGTTTTGTATTTATTGCCTTCATAACTATTTTAAATCAATTATATGATGGGGGGGGATACCACGATTATAGAGATTGATAAATCGAACGTAGCATCTCCTCTAACCTACGTGATGTCTAACAAGGGACTCCCCATGGCGTTTTACGAAGGGTGCTTCTACCTCAAGGACAAAGATAGCAATGGGAAAACATATTATAGGTATATATTATATTATATATAATTCACATTTTTTAAAAAAAATTATATCCTTTATTTGAAGGTTTTGTTATAGTATGACTAACCACCCATTTCCAAATTAAATTGTTGATATTAAGTTCTATTTCTCATATTTGTAGTATTATTATTATCATCATCAGTGTTACAGATCCAACTTATTAACCGATAATCTCACTAACGGTATCTGTCGATACATATATTAACGAATACCAAGTATTGGTTAATATCAGTGCTTCTCTGGTTATAAACGTGAACTACATTTGAATATTTAATGTTTCTATCGGTTCGAAGCCTAATATTCGAATTATTTGGGTTTATTAAAAAGTTTAATATCATTGTCCACATTTATATAACTGGGAATAAGGTATTGATTTTTCTATTTTTAATATAACGGTATTTCCCCATTCTAAGATACATCATTACATATTTTAGGTGCCGTAGTCATGGTTGTAATGGGAGGGGTAAGTCGGACTCGGGCCTATTCGTGGTCACCAAGCCCCACGGTCAAACCTGCGTTAAGACGTCCAATTCGGACCTCCAAAGCTATAACGGTATGAAATAATTTCCCTCTTTTTTTTTACACGCCAGCATCAAACGAGAAGAGAAACTTCCGCATTAAAAAAGGATTATTTTAAAAAAAATTAATCCCATTTTCGCGGACATAGTTTGTAGTAATAACAAAGTGATAAAAATGAAGATATTTAGCCAAAAGATTACGGGAAGGTTTGGCGAAATCTTGAGGCACAAGGTAATGTATATCTGGTTTAAAATAAAGCATGGCTATTAATAATTTTTATTTTCCTCGTGAGTCTTTAAACTTATTATTTTTTTATATTAGTGCAAACCATTGAGAATGAGGAATGTAACGAAAAAAAATCCATAAAATATTCGGAAATTTTCGATACATTTTACTTAACGACCATTTTTTTTTATACATAAACCTGGTATACAGAAGAAGTGATAAACTCTACCCTCCTCAAAACGTATCGGTTCTCCGACAAAACCCCGACCCTGGCCTTCTACAACGGCCGTTTTTACATGAGGAAAAACAAATCGACCAAAGGTACCGTGTATTACCATTGCCGGAATAACGCGTGCCAGGCCAGGGCTAAGTTGAAGGGACCCGCTTTTCGCATAACCAAGGTCCACGATGAGAGTTGTCCAATCGTGCTCGATTTTGGGCAAGATTCCGGACTTTCGCTAGACGCGAAAGATGGATACTTCCCCGACTTTAGGAGTGAAATGGAAGAGACGGCGTTAGTGGAAGGAGCTGGCATCGAAAAGTCTCCAAGCTCTATAGGTATTTTAATTTTTTTTAAGTTTAAACATGAATATCGTTTTTGGTTTTTTTGAATATTCCAATTTAATTTGTTGTTTGGTTGGTTTAAGCCATGGTAGTTTTATGCTCATTCCTTATAGTGGAAATATCTTAAAATTATTTTATATTTTGAAAGGGTAGATAATTTTCTAGGAAGATTTGGTATTTAAGATTAAATCTTATGGGTATATTTACGTTAAGATGAACTTTAAATAGGCTAGAAGGATGTTTGTACATCAGCATTTTTATAAATAATAAGGTAGTGATCTGCATCGGGCCTAATTTTTTAACCCCGGCCCGACCAACCCCATTTTTTTAAAAAATATTTTGTTCTGCACAGTCCGATCTTGAACGAATTTTTTTACGAATCTCAGGTACATGCTCGTGGCCTATAAATGGTTGGTTTGTGCCAGAATTTACATATGCTAATAGTTGTCAATCACGTTATAATCGCAATGCGATTGGTTGAAATTATTACATATAATTTTTAATTTTAAAATATTTTTCCTTAAGAATTACGTATTATATTCACTCGTAATTTTTTGAAACTTTTAAAATAAATTTTTATAATTAGATTAAATAAATTAATAAAATATAATTTTGAATTTTAGTTGTGTTTTATTAAATTAATAAAATATATTTCTAATTTTTTTTTTCATCTTCTAAATTACAAAATAGATGGCCAAGACGAAATTCTGACTCAGCTTCAATCGATAATATCTGATCCGACCCGATCACATGTTTCCGATCAGATGACCGATAAGAATGCCGAGATGCCGGTTAACGATAATAACATGAACAATCTTATGACCCTCGTGGGGAACATAAGTAATGAAAACAACAAAAAAAAAATTGTTGACTGATTAGATATATATACATATTTTTTTTTGTGATTATATATTGCGCGAATTTTTTAAAAGAAATAGATAAAACCTTAAAAATTAGCAGAGATGTTAAAGGATCTTATCTAGATACGAAAATGTGGTATCTGTATCTAGATAGATTTTTGATTAAAATATGTGTATCTAGATATTATTTTAAACGATGTATCTGTATCTAGATCCATTTAAAAAGTATCTTTTAACAACTCTGAAAATTGGAAAGGATTCAATAATCTAAGTAAATCTACAATATCCGGTTTCATAATATTTATATAATTTAGTGTTGTTAATAGTGTGCACAAATTGGGCGTTTACGTTTTGCGTTAATTTTTTAAATAAAAAAAAACGTAACGCGTCCCTTGTTTAAACTGAGGATGCCTTTTTTATTAATATCTTCCATCCAAAATTTTAAAAAAAGTTTCTAAAAACTAAGATTTGTCTTTGAAAATAATTTATTATCGTCTGCGTTCTTATTTCTTTAATTTTCTAAATATTCCTTTTTTTAGGATTATAAGTAAAGTTATGTCTTTAAAAATTTATTATCGTTCTGCGTTCTTATTTCTTTAATTTCTAAATATTCCTTTTTAGGATTATAAGTAAAGTTCTTTGCAAATTTATTATCGTCTCCGTTCTTATTTCTTTAATTTTCTAAATATTCCTTTTTTAGGATTATAAGTAAAGTTATGTCTTTAAAAATTTATTATCGTTCTGCGTTCTTGTTTCTAATATTCCTTTTTAGGATTATAAGTAAAGTTCTTTGAAAATTTATTATCGTCTCCGTTCTTTAAATATTCCTTTTTTAGGATTATAAGTAAAGTTATTTATATTACATTTTTATATAATAATACGAAACGAAGGAATAACAGTAATGAAAAAGCAAACCTATTTGCGTTTTTTTTAAAAAATGGTTGCTAATGCCAAAAGTTGAATTTTACCGATTTGCACGAGGCCATTCTAAATGCATTATTTGCGTTTTCAACTCAGATCTGGAAACGCTAAATTTGTGCGCACTATAATATAATTATTTTTTGAATGTTTTGAGACCCTTAAAAATTCACATTTCAAAAAACAAATATTTGCGGGTTTATTTAAAAAAAAAAAATATGTATCTATTTTTTTTAAAATTAATTGATTATTTTTTTTTAATATTTTTAAGGGACTAATAAATCACTGACCTCGCCGATTTTCGTTATCGATCAAAATACTATGAAACTTTTAACCAGTAAAAAAAAATCATCTATTACCAATTAGTGTTGTTTTTAAAGTAAATGTAACCTATAGTAACTCATTAAAATGTAAACTTTAATAGTTTTAATATTTTTTTCAAATATGAGGGTAACTACTGAAGCTAGTTTACCTTTTAAGGGTGTAGCTAACAAATACATCTTAAATTTGGAGTTCCATCGTGGGTTGCGAACATCTACCTCACCCGCCAAAGCAGGAGTCATTGACATTCGCTACTTTCATCTAATTACCACATTTATATCCTAGTATCTATCATGTGACCCATCACAAGTGAACTTACCATATACCTTGGCCTTCTGCGGTCGATAGATCATCCAAAATCCCTTTCTCTAGTCGATCACTCCCACCCATCTGCATGTTAGAGGAATTAGAATAACCTTTCTCCGTTTACAAATCTAAAATCGAAAAATAAACCTTATGATCATTATTCTTTTTTAGCATTTTCTCATGGAATAGCCACAAATTTCTCTAAGCCTTATTTTCAAGAAACCTCTATCAGCTGCTTGGCACTTATTATCTTTGTACACCTTGCTAAACACCCGACAACTTCAAAGACTGCCACTACATTGCAAGCATGCAAATGCATAAGTAGATTCTTAAAACATAAAAATAGGACGGCACCATAGCCTAGCCTTAAAATCCATTTGATCTCTTCAACCATTGAACCCATCGGACTTTAATTTAAGATTGACAAACGCCCAGATTAATTTATCAAGTTCCTTTGCAAATAATACGTAACCTGGATTTCCGCCATCCCCTTACAATATTCAACGTAAATGATGATGCACTCGTTGACACTGAGCTAAGTAAATTACTCTCCAGCGCTGCCTATTATCTTCATATTCTTAACCATAATTGCTTCAGCACTAACAAGCTCTCACCCCCTGGCTTTTTTTTTCTCAAGAGTTTGGACAACAGATCATATACGAGAGGGCCCAATGATCCTAACAAGGGATACTACCTTCGAGAGGGTTACACATATACTTCGTCAAAACATATTATAAGCATTTCCATTCGGATAAGAATACTCTGGATTTCTTTTTGATCTAAATTACCTTTATGTGATGGCCTGTTCTGCCCTGAAAGGTTTTTTATGTAGAGTTCGTTATTCAGAGAAAGACATACTTAAAGCATCTTATTAACTTATTTTAATAGTTACACCTTACACTTATTTATATAAACAACACTAATCATTAAGTTTTTATATTTCTTTTATAAAACACCTGATATTTTATAACTTTTAATATTTGTCCTTTCATAGATTTAAATATTTTATAAATAACATAATCGAATTATTTTGTATTATAATATCTTTATTTTATTTATTTTTTATCTTTCTCCTTTATCGCTTTCTTTACGAATTATAATTAATGTATATTATTGTCCTTTTATTCCTCTCTTTTTCTTACAATTATTTTTTAATTTTTGCTACAATGAATTTTTCTTATTCTCGCAAACAAAGGTAATAAAACCAATACCACCGATTCCGCGAATCCTAACGTACATCCTCCGAATCTTCCACCCGCCATTCACGCGCCTATCTTGGATTCTTACCAATTGCCGCTCCCGGTTAAAGCGATTAACGAAACCCAGATTTTTGATCCTGACGATAATATTGATGAAACACATCACCCTAACCCCATTATGTGTAAGGAATTGAATATTTATGGAATGATCTTTGATCATATTTTTGATTAGAGGTCTACAATGGGGGGGGGGTTAACCCGAGAACGTCGCGCCTATTGTATAATTTTTTGCATCCATCCATGCCCACCCGCCATTTACTTAAAATTTGGCACTCCAATATTCAAAAATTAATTGGTTGGTTGGTTTAGCTCTTTATTTTAATAAATGTTGTTCCTTTCTATTCATTTTGCTTGTTAAATCTTTTAAATTTTCCCCCAAACTATACTTTTCATAGAGTTTTCTTTCTTCCTTCCTTTCTTTCTTTCTTTCTTTCTTTCTTTCTTTCTTTCTTTCTTTCTTTCTTTCTTTCTTTCTTTCTTTCTTTCTTTCTTTCTTTCTTTCTTTCTTTCTTTCTTTCTTTCTTTCTTTCTCTCTTTCTTTCTTTCTTTCTTTCTTTATAAGATTAAAAATAAAATTCTTTCAGCCCAACAAAATTTTTTATTAACTTTTTTCATATCATGTTAGAATTTCTTTAGTTAATAAGGTTTAGAGATATAGTTCGTCTCCATTTAATACCGTCTTTAAGGGTAGAGGGGACTCAAAATTTTTACTTAATAATAAACTTAAGGCGGCACTCCTACCTACTTATCCGGTAAAAGGGCCAAGAGCGTTCCTTATTTTGATGGATACCTTTATAAGCGGTACAATAAAACGTGCCCCGTCATTTACTGTTCTTGCAGGCACCCAACATGCCCCGGCCAGGGTTTCATGGACGAAAATAATCTTTTCAAGCTAACCAAACTTCACAATCACAATAGGCTTGACCCCGAAGAAGCTACTCAGTTTTTGAGCGAACAGTTATCCAAGCGGCAACACAATCTGACTAACAGTATTATTACTCTTTGTCAGTTACATTACCTGAGGATAAAGAGAGGCGAAAGATAAAATTAATTATATTTTAAGATTATTGAATAGAAAAGGAGGTTGTTTTTTTTAAATATATTTTTAAATGAATCTCTCAAATACGATAAATGCTTTCGAATTAAGATAAGAAATTTATTTTGTTCTGAAATCCTAATAATTATAATACTATTTTTAGGAGGTACTTTATCAAAATTGCAGTTGTTAAAAGATACTTTTTAAATAGATCTAGATACAGATACATCGACTAAAAATTTTTCTAGATACAGAGCTTCTAAAAAGTTATCTAGATACAGATACTTTAATTAAAAATCTATCTAGATACAGATACCACATTTTTATATCTAGATACTTTAACAACTCTGCAAAATTGAATACATTTTTTTGAAAAGTTTAATAGATTTTAAATACCATCCTTTTTTGCATAATACTATTATTCATATTCTAATTGATTTCGAGTTTTTTTTAATGCTTATAAAAAATGGATTATGCAAAAAAATAAATTATAAGATATGGGTGTTTTAAAATAACACCCTTTCAGGATTCTAGCAAATTGTCATGTTAGCGTATCAAAGCTTACAGAAAATAATAAACGAAATGAAACTCAATGATTTCATAACCTTATCCAAACACACACACATATATATAATACATTTATAATATTAATATTTAAAAATAATTAATTAAATTATCTTGTATACAACAATTGAAATGTTTACTTCTTATGAAAATATTTTTTAAAAGTAAAGTAAAGATAAAATAGAATGGAAAAAAAATCCAGTAAGAAAATTTAATAATTACTTTATTTTTTTTACTTACTTACGAAAATAAACGAATAATTTAGAATTTTATCGAATAACGAATAATTTGTTTTAGGCCTAATTTCGCCACTACACGCGTCAAAAAGGAAAATGTAGTAATCAACCGCTGATACTCGATAATTAATAGATTAATATTATTCGTATTACAATACACCTATCCTTTCCCTTTTTTAAAAAAAAATAATACTAGTATACATAAATGATCTGGATCGAGCCTAATTTTTCAAGCCTGGCCCGATCCAGTTCGTACCGGAATTTTTAGGAAATAGACTCGGCCCGGTTTAAAACATGTTCGGGCCGGGTACATGCTGGGCCGATATTTACAGATCTTTAGTATACGTGATAGGACTTCAAGCAAATTTTTTTTTCCTTAAAAATAATACGCTATATTTATCTTTTTATCGACCCAGAGCTCAACCCTTTATTTACGTCCGATACCTGCGTGACGGAACCTCAGCCAAAACTGTGTAAGACATACTAAGATATTTATCATACCCATTACTATTTTTTTTTTAAAATGTACTAATTTATATATATGCTACTGCCAGGGTGTCGAACCAATTTCCCATTCCGGTTATTTTTTTTAACGAGTTTATATCGATTTCATTCCGTTTTTATACGTTTTGGATTTTTAAAACGGACTTGAGTTTTTTTTTAGTTAAAACAATACCCTAACCGGGCAGTATAATCCGGGCCGGGCCTGAAAATATGAAAGCCGGGCTGAGCCGAAAAATATTATTGAATAATAATCCGGGCTGCGGGGCCATGAAAATGGTTCCTCTGAAGGGTCTCTGAAAAAAATTATAAAAGCCGAACAAAAATTAAAGAAAATGAATCTTTATTTTATTTATGAAACGTGATGTTAGAAATAATAACAAAATAAGTAATAAAATACTTTAAAACCTGGGAAAAAAAGGTTTATATATGTATATCAGCTATACCCAGTATGTCAAACAGAGAAACCGAATAAGCCCATTACTATGCTTCTAACCATAATATTTTGAATAGATAATAAACCAAATCGTTTTATATGTGTTTATGCTATTCTTCGTTAAATTTTAATATAGGGTGATTCCCTGTCAATTCTACCAACGATTTGAATCGACCTTTTATGAAACCCGATATGTTATACAATTGATAGGAATCAAAATTTTTAAGCTCTAGCTCAAATGGAAAAGAGTTTTGGGTTACTCAATGTAGAATACAGATGTGATCTCGATTTTTAAAAATCTCAAATATTACTCGATAAATATTTGGTTCAAATACTAAATTTTTTTAAAAATCATTTCGTCACCCATGAAATTCATAAAGAAATATTTCGGTGTCAATGTATTTTCTGGTAACGCAGAAATGAGCTACTTTGAGCCAGACCCATTTTGGGACGATGAAGTTCACTAGCGTTTATTATGAATATATTTAAGTAAGAATTATAAAGAAAGATAATTATTATTTCATTATTATGGAATCACCAAAACTAAATATAAAGTGCCCTAGCGTTAAGAAATAATTGTATTAAAAATTTTTTTATATATAAAAATAGTTATTTTATATTATGAATTATTATATATATATTCAAATATATTATAATTATTACGTAAAATAGCCCACTTTTATCGCAATTCAATATTGTTAATAACTATTACAATTTCCCGCGGCTATCTATTATGTGAATTTTACACCCATAAACCTATATTATATGTGTATACATGATATAATCAACAACTATTATTTATCATTTTAAACGCTAATTGTTAATAATTAGGGGTGTACCGATACCACATTTTAGAGGCCTGTCCGATATTTAATTGATATCGGCGGATTACCGATCCGATATCATATCTGATTTTATATTTTATAAACATACTAGTCGTTTTAATTTTTAATGCATACATCCGAAAATGAAAAATCTCTTTATTTGAGCCAATTTTTAAAAAAGCGACTAACTTAGTATTTTATCCTGGAAAATATTACGCAGACTTGAAGATTTTACTCATAGATGGCACAAAGTTTTGCACTATTTGCGAAATTTCGAGATTTAGCAATATTTTTCTGGCTAAAATTTAAGTTAGCCTCAAATGGAGCTATTTTGCATCACTACATTCAATTACTCATCTCGGTGAACTTTTTAATAGTGTAACATCTATAATTTAACTATACCATATAACATAAGTCATTTAAATATATTATAATGATCAGTTATAGTTTATATTCTTGAATCTAAAAAGTATAAAAAATATTTTAGCATAATGCATTTACAACATAATAAATAATGGAAAATAAATCATAAACCCAAGTAGGGTTGGGCTTTAAATGTTTACCTTTATATAGAATCGATGATTATACATAAAAAAACTATTAATTGTTAAATATAGTTCCCTCTATATTTTGTTTTTCCATTCCAAGAATTATGAAAAAGTTTCATATGCCCAGAATGGGAACATCTCAAAATAACTCATTCTGTTTTACCGGAAATTCATTCGACACTGAAGTATTTTTAATAATTTTTATATACGAATTTTAAGAGATACGAAATGATAGATAATTTATAGAATTGGACTAAATATTTAACGAATAATCTGGAATGATAAAATCCGATATCGCAACTTTATTGAACTTTAAGATCCCATAACTATGGATCTATTTGGCCTAAGCGTAAAAACGTTATTGTTTAAAATGAACTCTGTACAATAATCTTGCTAATTTTCAATCGTTTTGAAGTATGGTGGTCAAAAATAAAGTTTTTTTTGTAATCACTTGGATAATTATTATCTTTACAATCGTTGTGAAAACTTAACATTCATTTTAAACGTAATTAATGTCATTATTATTATATTATCATATCATCTATCATATCATCTATCATATCATCTATCATATCATCTATCATATCATCTATCATATCATCTATCATATCATCTATCATATCATCTATCATATCATCTATCATATCATCTATCATATCATCTATCATATCATCTATCATATCATCTATCATATCATCTATCATATCATCTATCATATCATCTATCATATCATCTATCATATCATCTATCATATCATCTATCATATTGAGCTAGCACCTTGGTCATAGACCTTCCCAAAGTGAGCGAACGTGAATTATATGAAGGCCCACTCTTCATACTATTAATCTGATTTTTTTCTCAAGTATACTACAAACCTTGAACCCATAATTTAACAAAGTAAGTGGAACTTACTTTTACCGATATTTGTATTAGAGAGTTTTAGTAATGGGTGTATAGAAGAAATAGATAAGAAGGTAAGAGAAAGAACACTATTCTTTCTAAATGCAAAGATTATTATTATAAATTAATTTTGTAGTAAGCATTAAAGCATTACTAATATCTAATTTGTAAAATTATTTGTTAGGTTTTTTGAGTGTTATAATAATTTTGTGTTCAATTATTTTAGTGTCGAAATTCTATTTTAGGTAATGTATAATTATTTGGTAGAAGACATTTATGGCGTAAATAAGTTATTACTTATATTTTAATTTCACTTTGTAATCCACAAAATTATTCTAAGTTTCTTTATTTTCTCATATTTAGTGCTACTCATAATTTACTAAACCGTAATTACCTATAGCGATCTCTTTATTTACCTTAGAAGTCTTCAAGTGTTAATGAATGATACTCTTATACAACGAACAAACTAAAAAAAACATTATCATAACTACTCAAACATTTGTTGTAACTAGAGGTCTAATAAACACTAAATCAGAGAACTTATCAACTATTATTAAACTAAACTATCAATAGAGTGCAGGGGAACTTTTCATCGCAGTCAAAAGAGAATTAGTGATATTTTTTCTATAAATAATTTTTATACCTCAAGCAGCCATTTGTCATAGGCTCATAGATTAGCCTCAGAATTGTCTTGTGAGTTTTCCTGTCCGTAGAAGCTCTCTTTATGAATTCCCAAGAAGGACCCACTCCATTAAGGATCTTGTTATTCTGTACGAGTTATTTTTATATGTTAGGAAGGGTTTTAGGGCTGACTCCTCCAGGGGTATATTTACGAGTGCTTGATAAATTAGGTTGCTTGGGGCATTTCCAAGAATATGTCCTACTAATTTGAATTTCCTGTATTCAATTATTTATTGAGGGAATGTTATATCATAGACCATAGTTGTATTTAAAGGGTAAAAAGTTCTGATATCTGAGATATTTACTTAAAAAAGTTTGTCTCTTTTTATTTTCCAGTTTTGTATCCTTCCAAGTTTCAATACCATAATATAAAGAAGCGAGAATTGAAGAGTCGAATCATTAACCTAATTGATAATTGGTTTGACGACCATATTTTCATGAAGGACCTATATTTTTCTCTATTATTTAATCTAGCCATCAAATATGTTTAGTATTCCCTTTTCTAACAAGTATTACTGCTATTTTAGATGTTGTACTTCTGCTATCATCTTCCCTTTTACCATTAATTTCACGTGTGGAGAGATGAATAATGAGGTCATCATCTTAGTTTTATTTATATTTATTTCTAAATAAAAGAAACCGCCTTATATGATAATCCTATATATTAATGATTGAAGATCTTATAATATTTACCTATCATGCTAAGATTCTCAGCAAAAGCTAATATTAAAATTCCCAATTAGCCATCGATACTATCAGGATTTTTCACTTTCTTTATGTTATAATTCATAACAAAATGAAATAGAAGTAAAAAAACAAAGCCCTGTTTCAATCTAATTTTTACCGGGATTTTGGGGTTTTTACCAGCGATTATCTGGTTGAGTAGTCTTTATAAATCGTTTATTATTTTAAACAAACGTGTAGTCGTACCTATCTTCTATAAGGCACTCCACAACCTAGCATTTATTATAGATTAAAAGCTTTTTTAAAATCTAGAATAATGATGACCAGTTGATTTTTCCGAAAAGTGGCTCTCTCGATTTTAATTTTAAGCACGAGAATAGCTTCAAGCGAATTTTGGCCCTTCCTGAATAAAGCTAGTGAGTCAACAAAATCTGGTTCCACAAATGGCATGAGTCTATTTAAGATAATAATTACGAATATCTTATACAATATCTAATTTAAAGAAATTCTCCTCCAGTCTTGAAGAAATTTTGGGTTCTTAGTTTTCGGGAAGTTAATTAGGATAGCTTTAAGCCAATCGCTAAGACAAATCCCTTCCTTCCATACTCTTATAATGATTGGAAAGAGGATCTCTGCTTATAACATTCGATTCGCCTTCAAGTACTAGCTGTGTATATCATTTTGTCCGTAAGCATTATGATTTTTTAATTTTCTTATTTCACTTTTGAAAGGAAGGAAGAGTCTATCAGTGTTTATAATTGGTATAGTGGAAGAAGGTAGCGTGTATGACATTGATTGGGTCACGTTACTAAGTGGGTGTGTTGATTTGGGAGGTCATTTTGAGGTAGTAGTAAGTTTGTCATATTGAGGGGTATAGTAATATAACTGAGTTGGACTGTAAGAGGGAAACGTT